CCCCCCCACCCCCCCCGTTGCGGCGGTACCTGGAGCTGCGGGCGGGAGGGGAGGGGGCGGCTCCCGCTGCCCGTTTCCTTTCCCGCTGTCCGTCCCGGATCCCGTTCCCGATCCCTGTTCCCGGTCCGATCCCGATCCCGGTCCCGGTCCCGCTCCGGCCCCTCCGCGGCGCCGCTTCCCCTCCGCCACTTCCTGCTCGGCCCCGCCCGCCCCGCGCGCCCGCCCCGCACCACCATTGGTCGAGCCGACCGCCACTCATCCCAACTCGCCTTTCTATTGGTTCACAGGGCTGTCGCTCAAGAGGGGTCGCCGCCGTCCGCACTCGCCATTGGCGGAGCACTCCCCCGCGCTCATAAGAGGGTGACGGTGTCAATCACCACGCGGGTCACGCCCACAGCGCTGCTGAGCTTCTGATTGGTTCCGGTGCTCGTTCAGCTCTCTGTTGATTGGCTAAAGGGTTGTCCATCAACTTAACCCGCCTCTTCGCGCTTCTCATTGGTCAGGCTGGGCAGTCCGTCACGTTCAGGCCGTGGCCGCCATTGAGGCTCGGAAGGTTCCGTCAGGGCTGCTCCTGGTTGGGAGTTTCCCGTTGATCTCCACACCTGTCACTCAACGCCAGGAACCGCCCCCCACCTGTCCCAGACGGGGCTCAACCTCCTCCTCCCATTGGCTACCGGAGCTGTCACTCAGGCGGGTCAGTGGGGCTGTCCCGCCTCGCTCGGGACGCCATTGGTGGAGAGCCCTGTCACTCAATCCCATTCTTCGCTCTCTTCGCTCCCCATTGGCCAATCGAGCTGTCACTCAACGCACCCCCCCGCCCTCCTCCCCACCCCTTGGCCCGTGCCAATCACAACATCCGGTCCTTTCCTCGTCACTGATTGGCTGCTCCCGATGCCAATCGACAGCCAAGCCCCGCCCCCAGATCTCGCTGTAAACACCGCGCGTGGCACGCCGGGAGTTGGCGCAGGGGGCGGGGCTTGTGACACCAGTGACACCAGTATGGGGGGTCCAGGATCCCTGTTCTCCCAGTCCAGGGAATTCCCGGGGTCCAATCCCAAACCCCCCCAGGCTGAGGATCCCCCCCCCATTCCCAAGGCTCATCCCAGGACACGCCGTGCCGGAATTCCCTGGGAAAAACCTTTATTGTCCCATTCCAGCAGATCCAGCAGATCCCACGTTGGGGGGATCATTTCTTGTCCTCCTCCTTCTTGTCCTTGTTTTCCTTGGAAGCCTGCGAGGCCAGGGATCCCATGGCATTCCGGATGGCCTCGTTGTTGGGATCCACGCCGGGCAGGTTCTCCAGGACGCTCTGCAGGAACTCGGGGTCCTGCATCACATCATAGTCGTCCTCCTCCTGGGGGAAAGGGGAATTTGGGATCATCCCTGTCCTTGGGAGAGGACTTGGGATCACCTGGGACCCTGAATTGCAGGGAGGGATCACGGGATCCACGGGGATCGGTCATGGAATGGGATGGGTGGGAAAGGAGCTGAAGGATCATCTCATGCGATGGGGTGGGATGGGGTGGGAATGATGGGATGGGAATGATGGAATGGGAATGATGGGATGGGAATGATGGGATGGGAATGATGGGATGGATCCCCCCAGGCTCACCTTGGCAGGCTCCGAGGTGTCCATGGCAGAGCTCTCCACCTCGGCCGCCTCCGCCGGGGCGAACTCTGGGGTGGCAGAAGGAGCAGCTCAGGAAGGATTCCCAGCCCACCCGTGCCCTCCCCTGCTCCCAAGGGATTCTCCCAGGGTTTTTTTTTTCCCCTCGGGAATGGCCTCACCAGCCCCCTGCAGGGACATCTGCATGGCGTAGGCGATCTGCTCCTCCTCCGTCATGGAGCTGAGGTCGGGCAGCCCCGCCCGGCCGAACTCCTGCTGGGTGATGGTCATCTTGAGCAGGGCATCGTCCGACTCTGGGGGCACAGGGACACTGAGGGCACTGCCAGGGACCCACAGGGGCCCACAGACCCCACAGGGGCACTGCCAGGGACCCACAGACCCCACAGGGGAACTGCCAGGGACCCACAGATCCCACAGGGGCACACAGGGACCCACAGACTCCACAGGGACACACAGCCCCCTCAGGGACCCACAGACCCCACAGGGACCCACAGACCCCACAGGGGCACTGCCAGGGACCCACAAACCCCACAGGGACACACAGGGACCCACAGATCCCACAGGGACCCACAGATCCCACAGGGACCCACAGACCCCACAGAGGCACACAGGGACCCACAGACCCCACAGGGACCCACAGACCCCTCAGGGACACTGTGGGACCTGCCAGGGACCCACAGACCCCACAGACACCCACAGACCCCATAGGAACCCACAGACCCCACAGGGGCACACAGACCCCACAGGGACCCACAGCCCCCTCAGGGACACTGTGGGACCTGCCAGGGACCCACAGACCCCACAGACCCCACAGGGGCACCGCCAGGGCCCAGCTGAACCCCTGCTGGGCGAGGATCATCTTCATCGTCCGACTCACTGCGGGCACTTCTGGACCCTCCCAGAGCCCCCCCACCCTCCCAGGGCAGGATTTATCCCCAAACCCACCCTCCTGCCCCCCCCAGCACCCCCCCAGTCCCCTCCAGACCCCCCCAGGCCTCACCATCCCCGGCGGTGGCCGCGATCCCGGCCTCGGCAGCCGAGGCGGCCGCTGCCCTTCGAGCCTCCTCCTCCTGGCGCTGCCTCTGCTCCTCCATCGACACCCTGAGGGCCTGGGGGGGACACAGGGGGGGTGAGGGGACACAGCTGGGACACCCTGAGGGTGGCAAAGCCCTCCCAGCCCACCGAGCCCCCCCTGTCCCCACCTTGTCACTCAGTGCCACTCAGTCCTTGGGCACCTGCAAGGGGTGGGGACTCCAAACCAACCTGGGCAGCCCCTGCCAAAGCCTCACCACCCTTTCCACGGGGAAATTCCCGCTGATTCCCAACCTGACCCTCCCCTGGCACAGCTTGGGGCCGTTCCCTCTCCTCCTGTGGGAGAAGATCCTTGGGATCCCCCCTCCTGCCAGGGAATTCCAGAGCCAGAATATCCCCCCCTGAGCCTCCTTTTCTCCAGGCTGAGCCCCCCCAGCTCCCTCAGGAGCTCCTCCAGAACCCCCCTCAGGGTCGTCCCTCCCCAAAATCTCACCAGGGCCAGCTCGGGGTCGGCGCTGGGGTCCACCCCGAACTCGAAGTCGCTGGCGCCCAGGCCCAGCATGGCCCCCCCCTCGCCCGCCAGGATGGGGGAGCTGATGAGGGCGTCGGCCAGGCTGGGCCCGGGGGGCACCGTCACCAGGTGGGAGCCGCTGCCGTCCTTGCCGTTCAGGGCGTTGATGAACGACGTCAGCTTGTCCGTGTTGGCCTCCTGGGGGGGATGTGAGGGGGCACTGAGGGATGGGGGGGGGATTGGGGGAGGGGGCACTTTTTTGGGGGGGTGGAAAAGACACACCACCCCACCACCCCCCACCCCGAGGTCACTGGTCCGAGCGAGAAACACCCGGAGCGTTCCCGAGGGGATGGGGAGGGGATGGGAAAGGGATGGGGAGGGAAGAGAAGGTTTGGGAAGGGAAGGGAAGGTTTGGGAAGGTTTGGGAAGGGAAG